GTGCTATGCCAGCCCTCCAATCCTATAACCCCCCCCCCCCCCCCCCCCTCCAATGAGGTTTGGTGTAGACCAACTCCTCCTAAGGTTGGTAGTTTTTGTTGGGAAGCCTTTTTGGAAAGATTCAACACTGGTGATCTGCTCCAAAAGAAGAGACCCAATGCTTGTTTGTCCTCTCATTGGTGTGTTCTTTGAAAGGCTGATGGGGAGACCAGTTTTCATCTTCTAGTGTCTTGCCAATTTGCAAAGTTTATTTGGGAGTGGGCTTTATCTCTTTTTGGGTGTACTTGGATTCCTCCATCAAATTTGCAAGGCCTTTTTGCTCCTTTTTTCAGGTGGCATACGAAAAGGGGAAGGACTATGTGGAGAGGACTGAGGGCAGCAGTATGTTGGACTTTGTGGGAAGAAAGAAATTCCAAAATCTTCTATGATGTAGAGAGAGGGGTTGGGGAGTTGAGGGCCTTGATCCACATAGGGGTTATTCAATGGATGAAGTCCCTAGAGCTGTTCAAAGAATATACAGTAGATGACTTGCTGAGGAAGTGGGGTGAGATTGCTAGCTGTACCCAGATTAAAGCAGGGATGAGTGGGTCTTGGGCTCCCCCACCTGTGGGTTTCATGAAACTAAACTTTGATGGAAGTAGCAAAAGGGAACCCCAGACAATCATGGATTGGGGGTGTCTTTAGGGATGAGAATGGGGTTTGATGTGGCGTAATCCGGCTGCTCCCTGCTGGAGACGATCTGGCTACCAGCAACGACGGGGATTGAGTAACCTGCAAGAGATGAATCGGAGATCCGGGGGTGGCTTACCCGGCGGGGACACTCCGATGGCTGAGTTAGCACGTAGTAGAGAGCTTGAAGATGATATCAGAGAATTAGAGAGCTAGAGAGCAAAGATTACACATCATGCCTTCGCCCCTGGGGAGTGAGGTCTTTATATACTGGAGTCCCTGTGGGTTTGGTGGAGCAGTTCCTGGATCCTCGCTGTGATGGGATTTGCTTTCGTGTTAGGTGGGGATAATGCCACCAACCGGTAAGGTTGCCCATCTCTGCCTGAATCGGAAAGTGGGTGAGCTAATATAGTCGTTAAGGTACGATCCCATAAAATGCGGGGTACGGTGGTGAGCTCCTCGGGGTTGTCACGCGGAGGTTGGCCTGACTAGGTAGCGAGCTGCCTGTGAAGTGCCGGGCTACTTGGTAGCGAGCTGCCCGAGCTCGTGTTCTTCAGACCCAACCTGCTCTGAATGCCGAAGTTCCTTAGTACTGAGATGATCTTGCACCGAGGTAGGCTTGTCCCAAGGTGAACTCTTTTCGAGGTGGGCCCAGTTGTCCGAGCTCGATCTGTAGCGGACTTGGTACCGTTATCCTGGTCGCGAACTAGTACTGAGGTGATCTTAGTTCGGGATGATCTTAGCTCGAAGTAACTCTAGTTCGGGGTAGCAGGGTACCCGAGGTTGCTTTGTAGCGAACTGATCATGCTGAGCTGTCACTTATGCCGAGTCACGTCCACGTGTCTCCCTGTTACGTCGAGCCAAATTTCCCCTCATCAGGGTTGTTTCTACCATGTTTTCAGGCCCAATTGAAGTGGGTGACTCTCTCAGAGCTGAGATCCACGCAGTTTTGGAAGGTGTCCAGAAAGCTAGGGAGATGAAAATCAGGAAACTCATAATTGAAGGGGACTCGGAGGTGGTGGTTAGGTGGCTGAACAAATAAGATAGCGGTTTATGGAGTTATAGTAATTTGAAGAGAAAATTCAGATGGCTGGTTCGAGAAATGGAAGTTAAAATTAGTTGGGTAAAAAGATCAGCTAATTCTTTTGCTGATGGGTTAGCTAAACAAGGGGTGGACAAGGATGTCATGTTCTAGGCAAAAATGTAATTTAACTTTCTTCTTTTTCTGTTCTCTCTTTCTCTCTTGTTTCCTCTCTTGGGGCTCTTGATGTAGCTGGAAGATAAGAAAGTTTGTCTTCCTCTCTGTAATTTACTGTGATAATTAATGAATTGTGTTATTGATCCAAAAAAAGAAGATTTCACAATGAAAACCCCATTCTTGCATTCTTTCCACCATATCCCATCCCTCGAAGAGGGTGACACCTTAACTTTTTATAGTTTTCCCAGCAGCTGAATACATTCTTCCATCTCTTGATCCAGCAGAGCTCTTCTGAATCTGGGGCACCAAACAAGCTCATCTCTCCTCAGCTCAAAACATTGATCAATTTTAATGTGATGCTCAGTCAGCTTGTAAACTTTCGGGCACACCTCACACCACTCATCCTCCCAGAATCTTCCTTGACCCATCTCCCACTTTGAATCTAACTAAAGCTTTGAAATCTTGGGTGAATAGCATTATCCCTTTCAAGACACTCACCCCATAAGAGTAACCTCCCTCGACTCCCATCCAAACCTCACCAGCCCATACATCCCAACTACAACCCTCCTCCAAAGAGACTCCCTCTCCCTTTCCAGCCCAAATCTCCACAGCCACTTACCCAACAGGGCCTTGTTGAAAACTTTGACCCTCCTAATTCCCAACCCACCTTTCCCTTTTGGCCTACATACCTTATCCCACTTCACCAAATGGAACTTCTTCTCTCCCCCTACTCATTCCCACAAAAAATCCCTCTGAAGCTTTTCAATTTTATCCGCCACCTTTGCTGGAATCTCCAATAGAGATAGATAATAAGTCGGTAGGCTAGAAAGAACACTTCTAATTAGTGTAATTCTGCCCCTCAGGGATAGACACTTTGCTTTCCACATCTCCAGCCTCTTCTCCACTCTTTCAATTGCTGACCTCCAAATTCCTACTGCAGATCCTTTAGAACCTACAGGAAGACCTAAATAAAGGAAAAGCAGCTCCCCAATTTGACATTCAAACACAGCAGCAAAATGGACCAGCCCCTCCCTCCTTACTTCCCCCACCTCAATCAGCATACTCTTGGCTAGATTTACCTTCAAACCTGTAATAAGCTTATACAGATTGATTGGATAAGTTGTTTTGACATAGAAGCTTATACAAATGTTGATTGGATAAGTTGTTTTGATAATAGAAGGTCCACATCTGGATATTGCACTCTAGTTGCTGAGAGCCTAGTTTCTTGGAGGAGTAAGAAACAATCTATAGTAGCACGACCTTCAGCTGAAACGGAGTAAAGGGCAATGGCCCATGGGGTGTCTGAGTTGCTATGGCTTAGATCACTTCTAAAGGAGTTGGGTGTTGTTCATGATAAGCCAATTATTTTATATCGTAATAATCAAGCAGCTATTAATCATCAGTATCATTATCCATGCCTTATCCCAACTAATATGGGGTCGACTACATGAATCCTATTTCGCCAATTCGCTCTATTAAAAGCCATACCACTATCGCGTATTAATATGGCCCATAATCCTATTCAACATGACAGGACAAAACATATTGAAATAGATAGGACACCATATGAGAGAGAGTTTCATATGGAGATGTTTGTCTACCCTTATTGCTTATGAAGTATAGTTGGAGGATACCTTCACTAAAGGTGTTCCTAAGCCTAAATTGCAGCATTATACAAGCAAGATGGGCATGATTGGCATCTATTCTCAATTTGAGGGGGTGTTGAATTATTTGGGCCAAGATGTACCTTATTTCCTTGGGGCAGTTTTCTATTATTTTTTATGCTGATGGCTTTAGTGTAATGGGCCTACAAGGCTCTTTTATTTCTTTAATCATGCAACCACCCTCTTAAGGGCATTCTTGTAATAGCGCTTTTATTTATAGTGATCCAAATATATCAATGATAACAGCTGAGAACCAGCCATATTCTTTCTTCCCACAACCTCTTTTCTTTTCCTTCTTCTTCCCTTCTACTGTTCCGATCCACTTTTTCTATTTTTCCTTCATTTATTTCCTGATTGAATCTTAAGATTCACTGCTGGTTCAATCACCTACTTCTCACCCTTCTCAAAATCTTCATCACTGCATGCTCATCCTATGAGTGTGTTGCTTCTTGTTTTCCCAATACTGTTATAAATATCCCATCAATGTAATTTATCTTCTCTCCAATCACACAACACTCCAGCTATAACTCTGTTTTATCCTCCACCTAGCTGTAATCCAATAGAAATTATTCTTCAAAATCTCCTTTGTTATGGATTGTCAAACATGGTTGTGTACCTGATGTTTCAAATTTGAAAAAGTGTTTTTAAAAGTATATTTCTTAAATCATAATAAAAAAACAACTAGAAACAATTTTGACTTTCAATTTTTCTGACACTTCTCATTACTACTGTCTACTCTGACAGGTTTGACCTGAAAAACATGTTTCAGTCATAAGTTGCTCAACCAACACTTAAATAAGCTATGATAATTGACTGAAACACATCTTAAGTTAACTTTCCCATTTTTTCAATTCAAAATAACCCAATGCAATAACTTGTACATGTAATAAAGCACATCTCCATTACATAATTCTTTATCCGATAACTTTACCTTTAATGTCCTAGGAAATGTATTATGTTTCTATCGTAATGCAAATCAATCTTGAATTTAACCTTCTATGTTTTAGGATTCAGTGAATCTGATGCATACCGGAAATGGGTGACTCTTCAATATCTCCCAATATACAGTTTTGTGTATCTAAAAGTATTTTTTACCATGGTTCATTTTGTCTTGCTTAGCAAAATAGGCACAGAAATAGAGGATTTCAACGAAGACATGGAACTTAACCAACATCAATCTCCTTCACAAAAAAATTAAGCAAGTCAGCAAAACCAGAACACATCGCGTGGAAAGCCAAGGCCATGGGAAGGCAGATAATTACGTACGCTAGAACTTTCAATAGGCCAAGTGGTGGGTAAACACCAAGCTCATTAATCATCTTAATATACAAATAAAATTATAATACTAAATTTCCAGCTTCTAAAATTAGCAATCGTATAAGGTAGACGACAAACAAACACACAGAATAAGGGTATAAGGATTACATAAAATTCGCAAAAGAAAAGCAAGATATCTATTATAGTAGTACCTGCCTAACAGCCAGAATCGAGCCAGTGGCAACAGCATTTGCAAGCTTATAGGTGCATCTGAGTATGACAGCTGGAAGGCCTGGCACGATATTCCTCCATGCATCGTCACGAAATGCCCTCTGCAGATCAGCTGTGAAAGATGCTTGGTCGCTCCATACCTTCACGGCGGTATCAGCCACTCTTAATTCAATCATCCTCTCGACCAACCACAACAAATGCCTCCCATTAGTCATTGCTTTGTGCAGATTTAATCGCTGAATTGCTTCCGTCTCGTTGTGATCTCCTCTAAAATCTGGGCTGGAATACTCCTCCAGCGACTCCTTCACAATCCTCAAGCTAGTCTCAAATGCCCGATCCAACACCCTCCTTGCCGAATCCTTGGACGAGAAATCCCTCAGAAGCTTCGCCACGAAAGCCTTCACAAAAGCCATGTTGGGATAGCTATGAATGGCCGTGAGAATCAATCCATGGAGCATGTCCTCTGATGAATTGCTATTGGCGGGCGAAACCCTAGCAAGAAGTTCCCGAGACTCCTCCTCCCTGAGAAAGGGAATTAAACTAAGAACCATCTTTTCTTCCTCTTCAGTCCAGGGTACGGCTTCCAGGAATCGAACGCAAGCCTTGACACAATCCTCGAAGAGAAGCTCGAGGGCGACAGGGAGGATCTCCAGGGCAGCGGAGGCACTACCAATGACGCTGGAGAAATCATTGGTGTAAAGGAGTTGGAGAACAGTGAGATGAGTGTGGATTGATCCAACCGAGGACGGAACCTTCAAATTGAGACGGATAATCCCATCAGAGACATCGGAGGAATCGTCGGCGGATTTCCTTTTGCACCGGTCGGACAAAAGGGCGGAGAAGTATTTGGAGCGGCGAAGGACATTTGAATGAAGGTGAAGCTGGATGTCCTCCTCATCGGCCGAACCGACGGAGGAAACTAAATCGGGATCGGGATCGGGATCGAAAGGAGAGGGTTCGAGGTAGAGACGGAGAATAATGTCGGCAGTGGCGGGATTATTGAAGCTGCTAGAGGAGGAGGAGGAGGAGGGGAGATGGAGGCGGCGAAAGCCCAAGGGATTGTGGGAGATTTCCGTCAAGGTAGCGTCGGTTCGGGAGAATTCGATGTCAGCGAACGCGGAGAGGCGACTGCTGCTTCCCACGCGTTGTCTTTTCTTAGGACCTCCACCTAATATCATCTCTTGCCAAAGCAAAATAATTCAAGACTCAAGAGCAGTAACAGAGACAGGAAGAGTAATTGAACCAAAACGGTTGCAATGCGAAATAGAGGCGATGGTGATCGAGGATGACAGCAAGGAGGTCATGTATTCATATAATCGGGAAAATTCGTGATCAGTACTGTAATTTGGTTCTAGTGATAATTTGATCCCTATGTTTCAAATTTTAGCCTCTTCTAAACAGTCATCAATTTTTTTGAGAGGCTAGCTGATTAGCATGTAGGACTCTCCAATTTTTTGTCTAACTTTTGATAAAGATAATTAGATAGCATTTAAATGGTATTTTTAATTTTTTAAATATCATTTAAGATTGATTAATGGACTGTTTAGCGATAAATACTGGATTGTCACGTTTGGATATTAAATTATGGCATTTTAAAGTTTGAGGACCACATTGTCATTCAAGCTAAAGTTGATCGGAAATTTTCCCTATTACTTAAAGATCTACACACCCAATATCTTAAAAAAATAAAAAGGGTAAATTACAAAGGCCCCCTGTATTATGGGGTTTATGACAAAGACCCCAAATACTTTGTTTTGCGGCAAAACCCTCCCTGTACTATGACCGTGAGACAAAGACCCCCTTTTGTTAGTGTTCTGTCCAAAAAAACCGATGCAATATTTTTAATCGTTATACTACCCTTATAATAATTGTTCGGACAAAAAAAATATTATTCATCTCCCCAGACCTCACAACACATAAACAGTAGTGGCGACAATCCCCATATGGGAATGGGATCGTGAGGCTGGTAAACGTCAAACACCTTATTCGAACTTTAACCCAGCAAACAGAAGTTTGAACTAGAGATTTAGAGAGAGAAAAATAAAAAAGAGAAGCAGAGAGAAACAGAGATCGAAGTGTGTTCGGCTCACCTGCATTGGACAATAAGCTTACGACCCATTCCAGGTAGACAAAATACAAAGCATACTGCATTTCACCCAAAAAAAATAACAAAAATGAGAAGAATACAAATGGAGATATGAAATGATCGAGAGTAATGAATACCATTTTAATTTAATTTAAATTAAATATCCAGAATGATGAAATGAGAATTTTGAAAATCTTGGGGGAATCAAACCTTGGCTACTTCTTCAGTCGTTTTCTTCAAATCCGACTGGTTTTTTCCAAACCCATTCACCATATCTCTAAATAGAAGGAAAAAGCAGGCATGGCAGAGCCATGAACCACAGCTCCTATGCTTTCCGCTATCATCAGAACCCAATCATACTTGTCCACAAATGAGAAGAGCTGGTAAAAGGGAAGGCTCTGTTCCTTTTTCTTCTCAGCCTCTAGCAAGCTTTTACCTTCTGTAGTTTCCGCCATTGGAGCTACAACCGAAGGCATCTGCAACTTTCACCTGTAGAAAGGAAACAACGTAAAGGGCAACCAAACTCAGGAGCCTCAGAACAACCTTGACGCCGCCTTGCCAATGGAAAGGAAACATAATTAGAGTTGGTGTTTTACCTGGATTATCAACAACAAATAGGATCACTGCCCATCCATTCACTAGAACTGCAACAATATTCCTCATTGGTGGATCGACAAGATTGAACTTAGCTGTGTAAGTTTGCGGATTGAAATTCCCAAAGCCCTTTGCAACGATGTAGAAATCATATCCATGATATGAATTGGGTGGTTCTCGACTAAGAAGATACTTGTACATTGTAATGCAAGTTCATCGTCATGTACCCTATTCATCATCTTCAACCTCGAGACGAAAGGGGAAGGGGAAAAAGAGAGAAAAATGTGAAGTAATTTAAGGTAGAGGGGATTATCACCGCTGTTGTTCCTGTATTGTGAGATCCAAAAGGATGAACAATAATAGTTATTACAAGAGTAGTATGGAAATTAAAAAATATTGTAATGGCCTTTTTAAACGGAAGACTAACAAAAAGGGGGTCTTTATCGCAAAACAAAATACTGGAAGGGATTATTTGTCACAGACCCCATAATACAGGGAAGTCTTTATAATTTACCCAAATAAAAAAAAAAATTACACACACCCTTATAGTACGGCATCCAACCACACATCAGGACTGCCGTGCATGAATGTTAAATTCAATGGCAGATATTCCCTATATACGACTGGATGCCGTAACCTCAGGGGTGTGCACTATTTTTGCTTTGCGGAAATCTCGTCTCATTAATCTGTTGTCTGGGCTCAGTCGGACTACATGTTTGTTTTCTGGGATGAGCCATCTCTACTTCCCACGTATGCAACAGTCTAACAGACAACCGCCACTTCTTTTGTGTAAACGTAGAAGTTAGAACTTGTATGATAAATTGGTACGTCGTAGGTTATTCAATTTCAACGTAAAAGTGGGTTATGATCCGGCCCATAGATTTCCGAACATATTTCTGTCAAGCCGGCCCAGCCTGAGTCCATACACAATTCAGGCCGGACCTGGCCAAGCTGGCCCAGCCATGTCCAGAAATTATTGTATATATGATATAGTATATGTACACTATTTTACATTTTGGGTAATAGTGTAGTATCTTACAATATTTTATTAAATATATAAAATGCAGTATGTGATGTGCATAATAGCATATATGCATATAAGTTGTATGGTATGTATGTATATATGGTATATATGCATGTATGGTATTTATGATGTTTTATTAAATATATATGGCATGTATATATGGTATTATATATTACTATATTAGTATATACACTAACTTTTAAATATGTTTTTTCTATAACTATGAATATAAAGTTAAATTAAAGTTTTAATTTTAATTCATAAAGGCCAAACCAGATGTTCGGCCCAGCCCAAACTAGAATCAGGCTCGGACATGTAATATCAAGCCTGGGGTGTAGGCCTAGCTGCGCTTGGGCAAGCCTTAATACTATTGATACTTTGTAAAAACCCAGCCCGACCCATGATCATTCTTAAGTGGGGGTGTAGGTCGGGTTGAGGTTAGGGTTGATATTTTCAGCTCAGCCTAGAAGCCTTGGTCTTGTGTTTAGAGACAGCCCCAACTTTGTTCAGCCTGCATATATTTAAATATATGCATTTTACACATAATGTAAATACAAGTATATATGTTATTTTAATTTATAGTACATATGTTATATATAAATATTATAATATGACATTTGTAATATATATTATATATAACATTTTACATTATAAGATGTATAAAATAAATTTCTATGTATATTATATGCTATTTAATGAGTGTAAAGCTTATAAGTGCTCAGGCCTAGGCTTGGGCCAGGTCAAGTGTTATAGGTCCAAAACCCAAGCCCAGGCCTATAGGCTATAGCCTTTATCATGAGTGTAAAGCTCGGTTCAAGCCCAACCCGATCCAGCCATTGTCATCCCTAATTGAGGTCAATCCTAACTAACCCTAAAATGTTAGGTTGTTTCTTAAATTCTAAGAGTTCATGTTAATTTGATATTAGCATTATTATGTGTAAAAGAACATAATTATCATGTTTTATAAAAAAAACACCTTTAAACTAAAAATTCTTGACACACAAAATACATGTATACACGTATAGAGGTAAATAAATAAATATATAATACTCATGGCAAAAAAAATACATAAATATATAGATACATACATCTGGATGTGTAGTTGCATATGCATAATGCATGAAAAGTGAATCATACTTACATGCATCAATACATATTTTATATATGCAAATATGAAGTTAAGTTGAGTTTGGGTTGGATCGGATTGGTGAAGGCTTCTACCCTAACCCAACCCAAAGTTAAGTCATATTCATACTTTTCAAACCTAATCCTAATCCAAACTTCAACCCAACCCAACCCTAGTTTCTTGAGGTGGGTTCGGAATAACCCAGCCCAAATTGTAGCCTTATGTAAAAGGGATAAATTATAGACACCACTGTGTATGTAGGAAAAAAAACTGTTTTACAATAACAACCCACTTTTACGTTTGGATTTCAAAACCTTTCCCCCATTGTTAGCATTCCGTCAATTAATTTCATGGGATACTTTATAAAACATAACTAAAACCCTAAACTATTACTGTGTTCTTTTATGGATCATTTTTTTTTCCTTTTTGATTCATCTTTTCAGGAAAAAAAAAACTTGGAATTAATGTATTATTTCAGGCTTTTCAGCCCACTTTTTATATTGACTCTGGTAAAGTTAAATAAAAATATAAGAGTGTGGGGTCAATTTAGGCATTTTATTTGGAATTTAGACTATGTATACAAAGATTCTATGTGAGAGAGATTAAGCTGCATTGATAGAGCTACTTCTAAGGAGCTACGACGTGGACAATTGAAAATGTAAAAAAAATAATACTTTTGACATTTATGAAGTTTTAAATTATTATATGACCCTAAAAAAATTTCTAGCTACGCCACTGCCCTCACATGTCTCTGTGTAACTTTCTTTGAACAAAGTTCATCTTGATAATGATTACTTTAATCAACCCATACAATATCAAATAGACAATTTAGTAATCTTGATTTCACTATTAACCCTATCAGCAGATCAGGGGCAAAGCGCTAGAATTTAGAAGTTATATGGGTCTTTACCACAAAACAAAATCTAAGGGAGCTAAAAAGTGTTCTCACTCACCCTCTAAGCATATATATTAAAATTGTATTTCGCGGAGAGGACTTAACTTGAAATGAAAACAACATTCTCGCATTAGCCATTTAGGGTATATATATTTGGTTTGTGAGAAGGAAAGGGAAAAAGAATATGGAGAAAATGATGGGCTTCTAGTTCTTTAATTCATTAGGAAGTGGAGCCACAGCATTCCGGTGGAAAAAAGAAAGTTGGGGAAGGGGCCACTATCCACAATATTTTCAAGGTGACCCGAATGAAACCACTTTTTGGTCAAATGAATCGAACAGTGAAGTCACAATTAAGCAACAAAAGGGTAATAAATATATAAAATCACAACTTGCCAAAAAACCATTGGAATTTTGAAGGAAAAGTGGCATATGTATAATAGTGTATATTCATTATTATTAGACAAAATTTAGTGTGATGAATAAGATGTTTTTTATGCATGACAAATAGTAGAAGGAGAGAGAGAGAGAGGGAGAGAGAGTAAGGATGTCAACGGGTCATGTAAAAATACATAATTTCCAAACCCGACCTGATCCTATAGGGTCTA